CTACATAACAAATTAACCCAAAATGTAGTGGCATGAAACAATTTATTATTATCTCTTATGGTTCCACGAGGTTAACTGGGATTAGCAGGGTGATTCTTGATTGGCGTCTCACAGGGTTATAGTAGTTGGGACTAGACTTCTCTGAAATCTGACCCAGTCCAGACATCCAAGATGACTGCCATGCATGTTGGGAGCTCACCTTAGAATATCAATGAGAGCACCTAGACAGGATCTCTCCATGTGCCTTGAGCTTTGCAGCACGGCAGCCAGGTTCTGAGAGGGAGCATCCCACAAGTGAGTATTCTAAGAGCCACAAAGTCTTTTATGAACTCTTAGTATCATACTATTTCAACCCCAAAATCACATACTTGTACAGTTCTGTTGGAGAAAAAATTTTTAAACTCTTCCATCATAAAATACAAGGATGACAAAAAAGCCCTTATAATAAAGTTATGTTTGTTTTGAAAGGAGGGACTAGAAACTAGACTCCCCCAGAAAATGTAGCCCCAGTCGCAGACCTAATCCCTGCTGGAGTGCAGCCATGGACAAGCAAAAACAGCCCCAGCTCTTGCATACTAGAGCTTTACCATGTGGGCCAGGCAAAGACCACCTCCTTTCCCTTGGCCAACATTTACTGAGCTCTTATGTTTCAGGATCTGTGTAGCTTCTTATTTAACCCTTAACAATATTCTACAGAGGCAGATACTCTGTTACTCTCATTTCACATGTCCATTCTCAAGCATTTCTGGCTTGTGTACAGGTTAATGTCAATTGCTCATGCTTCTCCTTCCTGATTATAACCAAAATTATAGGAATACAGTGAACTGGTAAGTAGGCAACAATCAAAGTATTCACTTTCTTTATGGAAGTCTAATCATCCCAAACTGTAGGGTCCCTAAAATTACTGGATTAGAGAAAGTAATCTGGAATTAAAGCTGGAAGAAATGAAGCTTATTATCTCCAGTCAAATCTGAACCTTAGGACCAACTACTAGAAAGTATTGGATCTGCTATAGATTCTTCAAAGAAACTTCCAGCCCGCAGTGGAATGAGATGAGGCTGTCTCAAAGCATCAGTCAGCTTTTGCAAGTGAGTGCTGCAAAGTACAGGAGAGAAACAGTTTCTAGAAGCAGGCACTTTGCCAGGTCTGTTTACTTGATAGAGCCCACTGTCTCTTTCTAACAATCTGCCAAGCAGAGAATCTCATTTCTTGCTGTTAAGCATAGCTTTCAAACAGTTTTCACACATAGTTAACATAGCTGCAATCACTTGGGAAGGTTAAAAAATACAGTGACCAAGTCACCCCAGACTAACTAAATCAGAATCTCTAGGGCCCAAGTATTTCTTCAAGTTTTCCAGGCAATTCCAACACGTAGCTGGGGCTGAGACCCACCATGTTATAGGTTTAGAAACCCCATTCCCTCTTAATGCAGTCAGTTATAACTAACAATTTTTTGTGATTGCTTTATGCTGAGCACTTTACATAATGCTCATTGCAACTTGTAAGGCAGGTATGATAATCATAGCATTTCACAAATGGAAAAAGTGGAGCACAGAAGGGCTATGTGACAGTACTGGGATTTTAAATTTGGGGCCACTGGTGGTAAAGCGTGGTGTGAAAACATAAATTTGTAGATTAAACCTTTAACCCTCAGAGCAGATATGACAATGTAAATCAAATTTACCTCAAAAAACAAAATTTGGAGGGCCTCCCCGTTGGCGCAGCAGTTGAGCGCTGGGCTGCGAAGCTGCCCGCAGCCTCTGCAGCGCCGGTTCCATCGGTTCCATCTGGATGAGGGTCCCACATGGCGCGCAGACCTCTCCTGCCGCCCGCTGCTCCCCTCAGCAGTGTACTTCGTCACACTGCCTGTTCTACTCTCTGCTCTGGCTCTGGTGAATTCTCTCATCCTCCCGCGCCTCTGGCTGTACCCAGTGCTTGTATAAATAAATAAATAAATCTTTAAAAAAACAAATACACAATTTGGAAAAAATAAAAACATAGTATTACTTCTCCCAAGATGGACACTTACCAACATCCATCCACTAGGCTGCTGCTTGTGCCATCACCCCAGCAATCCTCCAGTCAGATAATAGTCTTTCTCTTACAGTGAAGAGTTCATTACAATATTCCCTTCTTAAAGAGAACAAAAACTCATTCTGTGGAATTTGAGGAGTCAGCATAAGGTTTTCCAACAACTGACTTTAGTAGATTTGGAAAATGAGCGATAGAAAGTAATAAATCAATAGTCATGGTGATAATGATTAAGAAGCTAAAGTCAAAGAGCATTTGTTTTTTACAGGATAAGCTTTATAGTTTTGAAAACAGTCATCCTTGGTATCTTGAGACTAAAAAACTGTATAGCACAGTCTGTGCACATAAGGCTAAGGGTAGTAAAAGAAACTACCATAGGATATTGTGGGAACAAGAGACAAAGTTACTTGTAAACATACCAGGGACAACACAAGCTGAGTAGGGAAAAACAAGAACAGAAGGCTAGAAGACTGCGAGGAACTTGCAAGGTTGCAGGAGAGGTGAGATGAAGTTCACATCCTGAGCCAGTGAGTCAGAAAATGAAAGATTATGCATTACCCAGTAATTCTGGTATTTCAAAAGATGAAAACAAAACAGAAAGAGAATTATCTTTTCTTATATCTTATTTTTAAATGTCTGCAAAGTTAGAATATAAATTGAATATTGTTTTTTCACGTTTGCCTGAAGTGTATAAATGTTAATATTAAATAATGTATTAATTTTGCTAATAGAAATTTTAGCTCTGAAGAGAATTCAAATGACTCTTAGGGCAACTTCTAAAGAGGAAATGATCATTCTAACTTATTCTCTTGCAATTCAGCATTTTCACATAATGAATTCACAAAACACTGGCATTAATCATAATTGATCCAAGGGAAAAATTTGTATCTCTTTACAAATGTGTGTAAGAGCACCTGCTAAGCAACATAAAGAATCCCTATACAAAGATGTGCCTTTGTGTTTTATTCCTCTTTTAAGGTATGAATCATTCTTCTCTTAGGACTGAAAGGAGGACAAAAGACCACCCAACTGCCAGGAGAGTTGTGTAGAGTCTGTGAAGTAATTTGCATCTGAAGAACTGCACCCATTACTGGCTCTAGGAAACATCCGGATGTGTCACAACTGGCAAAATCCTCATTGCAACTCCATGAGGCAAGCACAACAATCATAGTATTAGACAGACGGAAAAAGTGGGGAGGAACAGACGTGGGATTACAAACCTTAACATTCAACAGGTTGTTTTCATTTCTGGGGAAAGTTTACCAGGGGATCAAAATTTTTTTGCTTCTTCATGGGGGTTAAACTTGAACACTATATATTTTATAGTTAATTGAAGATTTAATGGACTTAAAAGTTTTAAGAGTACTGCTTTACAGTTTGGCAGTCCCTGCAATGCAATGGGCAAACAAACTCTAAACTGACTTGTGACTAAATTAGTTCACTTGTAGGTTACTAACCAACTCTATTCTTCCCCTAAAACAAACACGCTAATACTTAGAAATTTTAACACATTATTGACTCATTCAATTCTTGATGCCCTACTGTATGAAGATAGTGAGCACGGTGTTAATTGAACAAATGAATTCTAGAATTATCTTGCTTTTATTATATCAACTTTTACTGCTATCCCAAGAAATTCTGGTATTTTGCTAAAAAAAAAACAAAACAAAACAGTGATATTCCCATTATTTAGTTCATGAGATTAGGGACTATAAATTTAAGATTTGAAAACACATATTTTAAGTTGCTGTAAAACTCACGTTATAAAAAAGTCTCAAAATTAAATTTTTACTTTGGGAGGGCTGCTTCGAAATATTTGGTGAAAAAGAGATAAATGGGACTTGTCACTAATTTTAATTAAAAATGGTCAAATTGGTAATTTCATATGGGTAAATTCAAATGTGATGAAAATCACAAGACAGCCAAAAATCCATAATTTCCACAACAAATAAGGCTTTACATAGTCCACAGAAGTCTTCACAAAAGAGGGTGGCCTCATCTATTTTGTAATATGCTTAAACTATCAACTACAACACATATTCAGCACCAAGATTTATGGTGCTGCTAGCTTTCAATACTTAAGGATGCTAATGTAACCTGATAAACCCAATCCTGGCTTTCTACAATATACTTGGTAACAATAGGCAGGAACACTGTTTCGAAAGAATTAATTCCCCAGGCCTCCTCTGGTGGCGCAGCAGTTGAGCGCTGGGTTGCGAGGCTGCCCGTAGCCTCTGCAGCGCAGGTTTGGTCCCATATGGCACGCAGACCTCTCCTGCCCTAGGCTGCTCCCCTCAGCAGTGTATTTAGTCACTCTGCCTGTTCTGTTCCCTGCTCTGGCTCTGGAGAATACTCTCACCTTCCCGCGCTTCTGACTGTACCCAGTACTTGTATAAATAAATAAATCTTTAAAAAAAAAAAAGTTAATTCCCAACACAAAAATGTCATAATTTTAATATCCTATCCCCAAAAGTGTTTTGTGTTGCTTGTTCGCTTGCTTTTCAACCATTTTTAGAAAATGCTAAAGAACATTGTAATTTCATTAGGAAAAGTTAAAAAAACTTTTGAGTTTTTTAACTCCGAATGAGTAACCAGTCATTTCCTAGGCAGTAAAGCCTGCAGAGTAATACTGGCTTTACTGAAAGTCAGAAGCTGACTTGATTACTTCTTTAATATCGAGCACATTCACAGCCACTAGGTAAATTTATGAAAAATGTAGCTACACTAAGTATGGTACATATAAATTACAAAAGTGCTTTGAAAATATATCCTTAATTTCTGAGATTAAAAAGTCTCAAATTATTTAATGGAGTGAAAAGGTCCCCACATTTTCTGGGAGAGGAAAAAAAGAAACTCAAGTGGTGGAAATAAAAAGAGGCCTGTAGAGCCACAGTGCATTTTCCACTGAGATCCTCATTCAGAATCTTGTACTTCTTTATCAAGGTATTAAAATACAAATCAACTCAGTCACTAAAGACATAATTCTGAATCTCTTCTCATTTTTTATTTTTTTAAAAAAGACAGATTTAGGATAGTGTAAGAAATTACTAAGTTACATTTTTTAAAATCTGCCCAGTGCTACAGTAATGGAATAAATAAATAAGATTTTCTTAGAGTTCAATGTTTATAGATGTTTTTGTAAAAATAAAAAGACTGAATTGGAGGACATTAAATAATGTTGATACACACCAGGAAAGGGTTCAGGCAAGGAAAGGCACATCATTTCACCACAAGAAATAAAGACCATAGTTGGAAGTTAATGACCAGCCAAGTTTTAGATCTTGCGGCAGTTTTCCTAGCACTGGAGGGTCATTATGGTGAAACCTTCCTTATGGTACTTAGCTGGAATAAATAGCTGTTGGGGAATTTTACTCTGCAACCCCAAAGTGGTGTTAAAAAGAAAGCACTCTTTAGTAAGCCTGGCGTATGAAGAGGGAAGGAGCAAAACTCTAAAACAGTTTGGTGGTACTGAAAATTCTATTGACATATTAAGAGTTTTGGTTTTTTTTTTTTTTTTTTTAAAAAAGTAAAATAAAGTTAAATCTTCTTATCTGGCTGAACTGGAATTCTTGCAGTTACAAATTAGGAATTTCAAGTAAATACAATATATTTTTCACTTCCTTTCTTGTAGATAGACACAATGTAAACAGCTGTCATATTTCATCTCAGATGAAGTTCTATGCCAGTATTTAGAGAAAAAGAACTTAAATAATTTCCCTCTTTTATGTAGCTTAAATCTTTGAAAATAGTACTAATACCTCTGACTGAATGGCCATCTACAATAGCAAAGGAACATAAAGTTTGGACAATGGCTTTAAGGGGGTTTCCCAAAGAAACTGTGTTTCCAGTTGAACAGATATAGTTATATAGTGAAAAGTCTAACAGACTTTGGGTTTTGGGTCAATTTCTAATTGCTTTGGGTCAATTTCCCATTATCAATCTTCTTTCATCAACTCATGCCAACTATTAATAACCCATTTCTTTCTGTCTGAACTCTAAATCAGTATTAATTTGTTGAAAGGTAAAATCCTAGTAATCCATGTAAATCTTAGTGGTAAGAAAACTGTGTGTATAAATAAAATGGATGGATTTTCACCATAAAATAGTATATTCACACACAAAAAAGTTAAATTAAAAACAACTGGGAGATGAGGGAAAATATTAATATTAAAAAATAATAAAAATGGCAATTGTAAAGTAGGAAGCTTCCTGCTCATGCCACACGATAAGCCTTCATTAAGGTGTCCTCTTTCCGGTTGGTATGAGCGGCCCAGATGAAGAGAGCAGAAGCCATGAACTGTAAGGGAGCTGAGACACAAGCTAGGCAGAAGGACCATCCAAATTCTCCAGACACATTCTCAGGCAGCTCTAGTTTCTGGTGTAGTAGTTCAATTCCAGCAACGTAGCAACTCACTGAGCCCAAAGTAGAAAGACCTTAGAGGAAAAATTAGAAAACAGAACATAACACAGCTAAGTAAGAGCTTTTTAGGCAACATGACAGGGCAGTAATATGTGACTGTTTAAATAATAGAACTCTTTGGTTCCTAAGGCGCTGGGAAGAAGAGAAATGCAAGTATGACAAGACCCACCTGCAAGGAGATGTAGAATGCCTGTGGCAATGGTGGGATACAAACTTCGGCAGATACAAGCACAAAGTCCAATCAAAGCCCCAAAGCACATCAAACCTAGACTAACAAAAGGTAAAAGGAACTGGCAACGCCAAAGATCTGATTTTAAAAAGAAAGAAAAAGAGAAATGTCACCAGGGTTCTGACAGTTTTTTCACATGGCAATTTTGTTTATATTTTAATGAGATCTTTTCTCAAAAAGTGAGAAAGGAGTTCTTTAATATGGAGGTTTCATTTCTAAAGCATTCATCAAAAGGATGTTGTCTTGATACAAGTAAATGGATACTAACAGTAAATAATTACGGAAGGTTTACTATGTGTTAGGCACTGTTCTTTCTATACATACTTTGTGCATTAGTTTTCTCAAGAGCCTATGAAGTAGGTACTATTATTGTTGTATCCATTTCATAAATGAAGGAATTGAGGCAAGAGGTATAAATAACTTGTACAAGGTTACAAAGTATGTGTTAGAGCCAGAATTGGAAACAAAACAGCATAGTGCTACATACAGACTAATCTGTTTTTGGAGGGTCTCAAAATAAAGCTAACAAGTAAATGAATAGAGATTACAATGCCCTATTGAAAGAATATACACACAGCACAAAGCAGAGGATCTGATATATACTGGCAACTCAATAAATGGCAGTTTTAATGATCATAAATTCCCTCAACAACATAGAAAGAGCTAAAAGTTTTATGAAGCATTCCATTTTTTAATTATTTTAATTAGCAATGTATTAATAGTAACCAATCAAAATTCTAACTTTTAGTTCTGGTTTTATTCTCTGGAACTATGTAATTCCTTTCTCTAACATTCCTTTTCAAGCTCTATTAATAATAAATTCCTTATGTATTCTCAATTCAAAAAAATTAAATACTTGCAATTTACTCATGACATGGCCATTCTTCTAGGTAAGCCTCAGTGAGCCTCTAAAAATCTAGAGACTAGGTCCAAATATCGTGCTGGTATTTCCTGGACAGCCTTAGCATGAAGGAATGCAATACTCCTAATAAATATTTTCATTTGTTTTTGACATCTCCACTTTTGTTATGATCACCTAAGACTGTACTACCACTTTTGGCAGGCCTGACACAGATGATTCATATAGAGATTGCAGTCAACTTTTTTCACATATCCCTTTCTGAACTCAGGTAGCTGAAGCGTTTAATTCAAATATCAGAATTTATTACATTCCGATTAAATTTACTCTTAATTATATGGACTCATATAATATCATTTGGGATCTGGAGTCTGTCACCCAAGGTACTAGCTGCCTCTCTCAACTTTATATTCACAAATTTGCTAAGCATGAATCTACCTTCTAAAACAAGTTATCAACAAAGCTGAGTTCATATTAGAGATCTTAATTCAAGAGGCACTAAATCACCTTGCTCCAACAACAGACTTCCATAAAAAGCAAATAAAATTATTTCCTCTTTTCCTCCAATTGTTCTGCTAGGATCAAAGTACTCACAGGTCCGAAGCAGATCGATTCCACTATTGTGGTTTCCAGGATCAACAAATTTCACCATGAACTGCTCATTTAGTGTAAAACTTGTGCATTTTGTGATCACATCAAATGACTCTGAAACAAGAATAACAATAACAGCTTGTTGTTTTAATAAACATTTAGTAATCATCTCTTTCAATAATTATTCTCTAAATAAAAAGTGATACAGAAAGATATTCCCAGAGAAGTCAGAATTCTTTTTGGCCATGAGTGACAGGCAGGATTCAATGTCCAATGGATGCCAGCACAGTGGCAGTCTTAAAGACATGGGCTCAAGGAAGGAATAAAAAAAAAAATTAGGAGCAATAAAATGAGTGAGAATAGAAATGTAATGTAAGAAGACTATGTAAGAAGGAAGGGACAAAGACTGAAACAACTGATCTTCTCCCTAAAACCTTCTGCACCAGCCATCATCCCCACCTTAGGTAATGTCAAACTATCCTCTTAGTTCCTCACTCATTCTTGTCCACATGTATCCCATCAGGAAATCCCAGAGGCTCTACCTTCAAAACATACCTGGAATTCAGTCACTGCTCAGTGCTACCAGTATGATCTGATTCACAATCCTCTCTCACCTGAATTAATGCAATCAAGTGCTCCTCTACCTTCTAACTAGTCTCTTGGCTTCCTTTTTTGCCTGGTATTTGTCAGTTTTCAACACATCAGCCTAGATGAACAGATTATCTATTTCTCTTGTGTTCAAATCAGACAGTCCCCCCACTGGTTCCATCAGTTTAGAGTAAAAACCAAGATCCTCTTCATGAGTAGAGAATCTGACATGATCGGCCTTATTCCCACTCTCAAAGTACTTCTCTGACCACATAACCAACTCTCTCCCTTTGTTCCTCCATTCCAGCCCAGTGTTCCTTGTATATTTCAGGCAAGTTCCCATCATAGGGCCTTTGCTGTAATTGTTTCCTCCAACATAAATTGATGCCCTATGCTTCCACAATTAACCCACATGGTCAACTCCCTCAACTATAACAAGTCTTTACTCAAAGGGTATCTTCTTGTTGAAGCCTATCTTGACTATACTATTGAAAATCCTAATTCACGCCCACCAACCCCTTTCCCTACATATTTTTAAATCCCCTTTATTTAGCTGTATTTCTCATAGAATGTGTCATCTTTTAACATACTATATAAATTATTATTTTGTTTATACTTATTCTGTTTATTGCCTATTACTCTCCTTACTAGAATGTTAGCTCCCCAGGAATAAGGATTTTTGGTTTTTATCCTGATGTACTCCAAGCTACTAGGTTCTGGAACATGGAGGCATGCAATAAATGTCAGTTGAATGAGTGATAAATGATTGGTAAGATTCATATAGTTAGCGCGCCTATGCTCTCATACATAGAATTGAACGTTTTGCAATGAATTTTTCACTGTTTCCAAACTATTTTTTTCCATATAAAATCACAACTATCTTTTTTTTTTTTTTTCTGAAGTTAAACAGTTTATTATTCTTATGGTGTATGGTAACTCAAATTTGTCGTGCTGTCATCTGAATACAGTACTTTCCATTAATAAGCCAAAAAAAGTAGTTTTAACAGAAACAAATTGTAACAGTGTCCCCTACAAAGAGCTCTAAAGTTTCCATTTCAATAAATGAAAATTTTTAAATGTTAAAAAGTCTTGTAAAGTAAACCTAAAAACAATTTCTTAGGTTTATTTTTTTTTAAACTTCTACAATCCATATTTTTAACCTACAAACTGTCAAGCTTGTTGTAAAACAATCTCAAATATGCACAGATTTAAATATAGAGCTCACTAAATTATATCCACTGAGGTTAAGGCAGCAAATGTACTATCTACTAAAACAGCGCTAGCACACCAAGGACTGTCAATTCATATTTGTTCACTTGATTTTGGATACTTGTCCTTTTATGAGTTATCAAGTATTTAAAGTCGTCCAATGCACTTTTCCAATTATTTCCTCACAATATGTATAAGATTAAAAAAATTTAATGAGTGGGTAAATAAGTACAAAGATTTAAAATGGCTTTCTCAAGGTAAGTATAGTTACTCATCCAGCCAGTATTAATAAATTACCATGGTAATTGACGGAAGTTAGGGAGGGAAGGTGAGGGGATAGTAGAGATGCACAAGATATCTTATTGAGTAGCAAAAGGAGACAGAAATTAAAATAACAGAAATACCTGTTCTTTCTGGTGGACTATACCAATACACGTTTTGGGGTACAGTTATACACCGTCGCCACAATCCCATTGTGCCATTATATCGGAAAAGTGCATCATTGTAAGTCTTTTCATCTGCCTCATCGCTATCAAATTCGTTCCATATGCTTTTGTTCAATTCACTGGAATTTTCTTGAACTGGACTTCGATATTCATACCAGAAGTCTGTGCCAATTGAGGCTGCCATGTAGATGGTGGAAATGAGGCTAAGCACACAAGCAATTACAAATGCTGTAGCAAAACGGTTATCCATTCTGGCATTCAGACTGCTCTGTTTAAAGTTGAAGAAAGAAGAAAAGTTAGACTTCAAGGATAAATAGAGTTTGAAAAGTATTACCTCAAAATTACCCTTTATTCCCACCCCTTGTTTTTTTAAAGTAATATATATAATCATTAAGGAATTAAATAAAAAGCAAGCAGATTCTTAATTAAATTCAAAACAAAACTCATTATCAGGAAAAATGCTCACATACCCAGGATGCTACGGAGACAGAGGTCTTGTTCTCTAGTCTATCACCTGCACACTAAAACAGACAACACTGAAATGGACATACACATTACAGATACAAACAATAGACATGCCCAGAGTCAGGAATGAACTGGGCATGAATTGTTAATTGCAGATTGAATTTTTATACAAGCTGCAGAGTATTAAGCCTTCTGGGTTAGAATGTTAAAAGGGCATAGGAAAAGGAAGCAGAGGAAGTCGGCTCCTCCCAGATTTCTCTGAAGAGGTAAACCTTCTAAACAAGGCTAAGAGTCAGGATCTATTTGGAAGACACAGTTGAAGATGTTTGTTAATTCAGAAGGAAAGGTCGCTCCAGGTGCACAGACTAGCAAAGAGAACAACAATATATAATAATGCTAGATAGCAATCTGCCCTTAATCCATTAAAGCTAAGCCAAACTCCTTTACACTGCCCAAATTCTTCACTCTGTCTGCTCTCCCCATTCCTTATTCTTTTGAACTTCCTCACTGCAAACTAAATGCTCTCTCCTTAACCTGAATGAAAACTCTGGACTGGGCCGAAAGAAAAAAAAAAAAAAAAAAAAACCCACCACTCCCAGGCGTAAATAGGTGTCAACGACGGTAGTAAATGGCCGCAGTAAAATGACTCAAGGCGGATCAAGCTGAATCAAGCACTTCGAGTATATACTGTGACCACACAAAACACCTTACAAGAGCGCACGAAAACAGGCTCGCAACCGGTTGCTGAGTTTGGAAGAAGGGAAGTGACTCAGAGAGATCAGGGCAATTGCAATAATTAACGATAACTCCAGAAGTTGGGTTTGTATTTTTATTCCTATTAATCCTCTTTCATCCTGGAGCTTCTCAAATGACCTTAAAAGGTCCCGATGCCGGGAGCGGCGGGTCGCCCAGGCCGGACACCCGGCTCTGCCACCACGCAAGGCGCAGGACCTGGTCCAAGCGGACCCCGGCCCAGGCGGGGCGGTCCGGCGCGGCTCCCCGCCAGGGGCCCCCGGGGGGCCCACCAGGCCCCTCCCCAGAGCCCTGGGCCGCCCCGTCGCCCCAAAACCAGCCCGGCCCGTGGCGGCGCTGGGGGCGGGCACCCTCCGTCAAACCGCTGGAAATGTCGAACGGCTACGCGACCCCCGCCCGCCGACGCCGGCCCCGCTCACTCACCGCCCATCCTCCTGCTCCGCCTGCTTCACCCTCCAGCTCAGACCACAGCACCCTACTCTCCCCGCGCCTCCTCTGACGCACTTCCCTGCAGAGCCCGCCCCCTCCATAACTCCCGCGCCTCCGCCTCCGCCTCCAGCCCAGGCCAGGCTGAGGCCCGGGGCCGAGGGGGGTTGTGGGAGTTGTAGGAGGGACGGAGAGAAAGCTGCGGGAGGTGGCGGACGGCATGCCCGGAACCTCGCGCGGCGCCTTGTGGGAAATGTAGTTCAGCTCCGCGGGAAAGTCAGCGAGAGGGAACTCTAGGGTTGTGGCTCCGTGCAGTTTATGACGGAAGGGGGAAGGCCTGTTGAATAAAGGCTGCGTCCCGCCCTTCACCGCTAGCCGTATATTATTGTAACTCATATAACTCAGTCCTTACTTTTCTCAGTCCTGTGCTTTTCCAATCACGCCACCCCACCTCTACATATGTTAACAGCAATGAGGTTATACTTTTGAAATAATAATCCATTTATTTCCTCTCCCACAACTTCACTCTAATTGGAACAGATAGTCTTTCTGGTTTTTTTTGCTGAAGTTAAGGCCAAGAATAATGTGACTTGACAGACAGTGTCCATATAGAATGTAATGACATTGTGTTTCATATGATTTGTATCTGTGGTTGTATTCTCTTTTGATACTAACACTAGTTCTCTTTATTGTAGTAAAATTTTCTTTTAAAAGAAAATATTAAATTAATGATAATACTGAGGATACCAGCTATTTTAGAAAGCATAAATAAAAATAAATAACTCAAATATTAAATAAATAAATAGTCGTGAATAAAAAAATTGTTTATGTGGTATGAAAAAGATTCAATTTGAAGGAACATTACCTTAAGCAGATACAGTCATGGACAGCCTGGATTGCAGATGACTGTGTGGCATAAGGGCAAAAAAATCATTGCAAACCTTCAAGTTTGCATGGAAATTCATGGATAGGAAGCAGGATCATCTTAGCAATGAGGTGTGTGGACTCACAAATGTGTCCTGATACCAAGAAATGATGGATTTCTAGAAAGGTACCAAACAGACAGCTGACTCAAGGAACAGAAGGACTCTGGAATCCTACCTCATCCACCAATGCCTTGGAATTTAGCAGAGGTACAGGAGAAAGGTGGGAACTCCAAATTTACATAAAATTTCTATTACCCTGAAAGATAGAAGGTATATCTTTTTTCTATCTGTAATTATGTTTCTTTCACCTGAGTTGGCAAACTGATAGTCCTATCCAGTACATAAACAAAATAATAGCCAAATGTAATATACAAATCTAACTGAATTTTCATATAGAGTTCCTAAACATTAGAGAACTTTGTCAGCAGCACCACAGTCCCTTGTGCTCTTCCCTCCCCTGCTTTGACCCCTCTCCCCTGATGTATAACTCAGATCTACGGTCAGTTTATAAGACATATTTGACTCACCAGTTTAGTATGGACCTGGAAGTTCTGCTTGTTTGAGGTTGTGACCATTGTCACCCATCGAACACAGAGGACTTGAACCATATCAGCATATCCAGCACTACTATCACCAGATTGGGTTCACAGAATACATAAATCATGTCATAAAAGGTAGATTTTTCTGGGGAGACCTGTAAGGCAGGATGACTCTTTCAATGATGTCTGAAAAGAACCTACCACGCACACACAAGATACATTTATTATTTTTTTTAAGATTTATTTATTTATGCTTACAAGTGCTGGGGCACAGGCCAGAGATGTGGGGGAGGAAGGGCAGTGAGAGGATCCACCAGAGACAGAGTGGGGGACAGAGCAGGCAGACTGACTGAAATACACTGCCGAGGGGAGCAGCAGGCGAGACTGGAGAGGTCTGCCTCGCCATGTGGGTTTCTCCTGGCTGGGGATCGAACTCATGCTGCAGAGGCTGCGGATTGCTTCATAGTGTGGTATTTAACCCCTTGCGCCACGAGGGAGGCCCTATTATTATTTTTTTAAATGTATTTATTTTCTTACATCAGTGTTAACTTTTGGACAGTATTTGATTTCTCCCCTCAGGTGTAGTCTCCATAGTTCTCCCACCACCAGCCTAAGCAACATGCAAGAAGCTAGAAACAGTGGGAAATGCAGATGGACATGGAAAAAAGAGGAAAGCTATATGCATTCTGATTAGAAAAGATACAGCAGCACAGTCCTTTGCTTCAACAATAAACAGTAATCATGGAAAATGGAAGCTGTCCAAGAAGTTTGTGAAAAATCTCTATTCACTGGAAATGACTCAAAATTCAAACATGATGCAGCTCAGATTTACAAGCATTTATTGACCACTACTGAATGGCAGAGAGTGTTCTGGGTACCAAGGACTTAAATATAAACTGACTTTTTGTAATATACAACCTATATCCAGACTAAATCAACTATTGTGAAGAAGCCTAAAGTGTATGTGTCTAGAATAATAACATCATTGCTGTTTACGTAAACATGAGTTATGAAAGGAAATGATTCAGCAAGTGAAATGGGGGAAATCTGGTAATAGCAAAGAGATGCCATTTCATTTGTTATGATATATTATGTCACTTTGTGCTAGATTCTCCAAGTTTGTCTCAGAAAATAACAGTGAAATCTGTGAATGTAAGCATATCCTTTAAACTGAACTATTTAAATGATTATACCCTTTATGATACACAAATAAGAAATGGACAAGAGAATATTTATAACAAATGTACATGTAATCACTGTGATTGACAAGATTCACAAAAAGCAAATAGCTGGCTTCATAATTTTCTTTACTCTTGGGACTTATCAGCTAAGCATCTATGAATAGAGATTTCTTTGTACTCTACTATAAATTAACACAGCAGATTTGAGAATTCCTACCTAAGATGGGGGCCAGAATATGAAAAGGAAGAAGCTGAAGTAATATCTCATATTATTAGTTAGGATGACTGTATTCACACAAAACTATCTACTTGTGAAGAAGAAACCTCAAGTTACGCCTAGGAGAGATGATAATGAATTCACACAAGCACATGTCTCAATGGACAAAATCTTACTCTTCCACATTCTTCAATATCTGACCCAATTCTAAACATATCTCAAGAACTGGGATGCAGAATATGGAGGACACAGAACAGAGCTCTAAATTAATTCCTAAAATTTTGTGAGATCCAGGCTAGAAGATTTATACAAAGTTCAAATTTAGAGGTAACTCTTTAACTTTTTTAAAAGACAGCAAAAATAATGACAAAGCATAACATATAAAGTTGATTACCTTATGAATTAGAACAGTTTCTAAATGTTAGTGTGATTAAGAAACAACTTGGATGCTTGTAAGGAGTAAGGTCCTAGACTCACTCCTAATGACTCCTTTTCATTATACCTGAGAGAGTTCAGACAGCTACATAGTGTTTAGAGGGTGCTCCAGCTGGCTCTAATGTGGTTAATGTCATCTGGCATCCACTGTTTTAAAACAAAGACTTTGAAAGTCCAAAAAGGCATTAGTAGGGTAACTGCTATTTGCTAGAGTCCAGAGAGAGAGCAACAGAGAAACAAAGAAGAGGGAGTATAGCAGGCAAGGATAATTTTTTTTAACATATTAATTATGAAAAAAATAAAAATTCACCAGGTCAGATGACAAAAACAACTAGCCGCATGAAATAAGGTAGTAATTTATAAGCAATATCGTGAAAGTTCTTAGAAAATACAAGGGTAGAAGCTATTGATTCCTTCATATAGGGATATGGAAGGAAAGCTGGGTGTTTTTCTGAGAAAACAATTTTTAAGAGTGCCAGAATATGCTATATTTTAGTGACTGATATTTAGATCCTACTTTTTTTTTTGCCTTCACCCTGCTTATACTGCTTTTTAATATGACATCACTGCTGTTTTTGAGTTTTGATCTATGTGTAGGTGGTTATTGTTAGTAGGCTCATGTTTATCACAAAGATCATTCAAAGTCCTAAAAATGACCCTTGTCCTGAGTTTAGAATTATGACCTCCCCTAGTTTTCTAATAGCCTTATACTCTTTGCAATATTAAAAGCTTAATACTATGCTATTTGATCCATTTTTGGGTTCAAAATATTTGTTTTCTAGCTTGGGTCCCAAGATAGACTTGATTCTTGATGAATCTTCCTGTATTTCAGCATTTTACTGTGAATTACCATATCCCAAAATAACCATATATGAAAAAACAAATAATTTTGTCTACTGCTGTTTCAGAGTTTGCTAAGGAAATCAAATTTATTTGAGATAGCTTATATCAGCAACAACTTTTTTTAATTAATTTATTTTCCATTTTAACATATATCATTTAAAAAAAATTTTAAAGACTATTTGCTTCCCCCCACCCCCTCAGATTGAGTCCCCATAGAATTTCCTTCACCAAGGCACCTGGGCACCATCACCAGAGTCCCCTGTGCTCCTCCCTCCCTCTGATCCCTCTCCCTCCTCCTCCCCTGAAATATATCTCTGGTTTATAATTGTCTGTTTTTGCTTTGTTGTGTTTTGTACTGTTATTATTTTTTTTACACTGATGTCTTATCGGGTTCCCCTATATTCCTGTTATAAGTGAAACCATCTGATATTTTTCTTTTTCCTTCTGGCTTATTTCACTGAGCATAATTCCTTCTATCAGCAACAACTTTTGAATGTTAAAAGAAAACGAAGGTCTACAGAATAAATGTATGACCAAATTTTTTCTTTCAGAGTATGATCATGAACTCTTTTTCATTATTTTTGAGATATTCTAAACTTTTTTTTTCAAACATCTTAAGCCCAGAATAATTTTATCTTCTTAAATGCTAAAAGACCATCTAGTTGCTGAATGGAAAATCTAATATTACAATTAAAGAACAAATACAAATATATGTATATTTATACTTTACATTATACTTTATTTTTAATTGTACATATATACGTATATATGATTGGTAATTTAATACACACATGCACACATACACATATATAATGTTTAAATATTTATGTTTACCCCATCAATCATGTTCAAATAAATATTGTCCTACTTCAAACTACTTAACAAAATGACTTACTTTATTAAACATTTAAGATTTATCCAGTGGAAAGATTTCTACCCCAGAAATTTGAAAGGGTTAGTTAGTTTTTCTCATCTGCCTCCTATACTTAGTGGAGGATACATCCCCCATGAACAGCAAAGAGCTGTCAGGGTCCAGACCCATAAATCAAGTGACTGCCCCTCACTCTTCCTTGATTTAGACTCACATGCCTGGGACATGTGAGGTGATGTTAGTCCATATCAGGAAACAGAGCGGAGGGAGTACTGCAGGCAGGAACATTCTTTTCAACATATTAAACATGAAAAAAAAAATTCACCAGACAGGACTTCAAATATTTTGCCATTACATTTTCATCTACAGGCATATATTCTTCTAGCAATAGTAATATCAACCTGAAACTGTAATCTTGGAGATTAAGTGGGAAGGGGAGAAGAGTGTAAGAGAGCTTTGAGCCACTTCAGCCAGTAAAGAACTGAATAAATGGAATCAGTTTCAGATTCTGTTACATTTTATTATGGACTTCTTAATATGAAAAGGAACATATGACAGAAATATACAAAAAGATCCTTTTCACTCTAGCCTTCTTCTTAAGTATTTTGATTGAATGAAAAATCTCCCTTTCATAGTGTCCATACTGGTAACGTTATTATAATGTCATTTAATTTTTGTATGTCTCTTAGTCAGTTACTCCAAAAGTGAAGCTTACTGATGTGTGGAGGTACTAATGACAAACTATAGGGGAAAAGCTAACAACTCATTCTAAAAAGATGTGAAAAAGAGAAGATTAGAGGGAAGGTTGAATCTGATAAACAATTGTTATTTTAGAATTAATAGAGGAAAACTAGTCAAGGATGTTAGTTCTAACATCCTGGTTGAACTATAATAGCAAATAAGAGGGTGAAATAGCAACTTGTGATTTTTAAACCTATGTTTGTAAGTTAACATAAATAACAGCAATGCCTATAGTTAAGCCTCATTGAATTCACCCTTGCTTATTATACTGGATTATAGAAACAAGAATTTTCTTAATCAAAAAACAAGCAAACAAAAAACTAACATTGCCAAAGCAGCTACCATGTGCAAGGTGCTGTGTTAACTGTAGTGGAATTTTTTTTTAAATAATAATGAAAGCACAAGACATGGTTCCAGACTTCCAGGGACTTTTAAAAGCTTATGGAATGAGACAGAATAGATTATATACGAGCCGAAAGAGCCAGATAGGAAATAGGAGCAATTTCACATCCTGATTGGAATTGTGTTTGCCACAGATGTGGATTGATATGATTTGGAAAGGCTTCAATCACTTGTTATGCAATGGAATACTAATTTTCTCCACATTTCATCAATGATATATATAAAAAGAGTGTCTTCATCATGATCACCTTAAACGTCTCAAAGTAAAATGGTATTCTATTTGTAAAACAGCAGGCTAGAACTAAAGAAATCCTAGTGTCAGAAAAGCAATGAATGCCTTTCAAATAGCTGAGGGAAAAAACTATTTAATTTACTAATTTTTGGATTTAAAAAAAAAAAAAACAAATTGAATACCTTGAAGAAAGAAGGCAGAAAGCACCTCAGTTTCATGGGCAAATGCAAATAGAGTAAACCACAACCACAATAACCCAACACCAATCAGGGTGGTGCTCTTTGTGAGGACTGGTAGAAACTAAATTTTTTAATCTCCGTTTTGTGCTTGCTCTAAGTTCTTAAAAGGGGGTGGGGAAGGCAGGAACTGTATAAAAGAAGCTGTCTTGAGATTTCTAAAATTCATACAAAAGATTCATAGATAAAGCAGCTTGCCAGATTTGGCACCTGATCTTTAGTGATGGACCCAGAAGAAACCACACTTTATTTGGATTATCCCTATGCGACCAGCCCAAATCCTGATGTTGAGGAGACCCTCCTCTATGTTTATTATAAATCTGTCTTCCTCTCCATCTTTTACACAGCTGTGTTCCTGATCGGAGTGTCAGGGAACCTGATTCTCATGAGTGCGTTGCATTTCAAACAGGGCAATAGAAGACTGATCGACATCTTTATCATCAACCTGGCTGCCTCTGACTTCATTTTCCTCATCACTTTGCCTCTCTGGGTGGATAAAGAAGCATCTTTTGGCCAGTGGAGGACAGGCTCCTTCCTATGCAAAGGCAGCTCCTACATGATCTCCGTCAACATGCACTGCAGTGTCTTCTTGCTCGCCTGCATGAGTGTTGACCGCTACCTAGCCATCATGTGTCCAGGTCTATCCAAGAAATTCAGAAAGAGAGAATTTGCGTATAGAGTCTGTGCCAGCGTCTGGTTTATCTCCTGCCTCCTGGGATTGCCTACTCTTCTGTCCCGGGAGCTCACCTTTCTGGATGATAAGCCATATTGTGCAGAAAAGAGGGCTACGCCAACTAAACTGACTTGGGCCCTCGTGGCCTTAATTGTCACCTTTTTTGCCCCGTTGGTGAGCATTGTGACCAGCTACTGTTGCATCACAAAGAAGCTGTGCACCCATTACCAGCAGTCAGGAAAACAAAACAAAAAACTGAGAAAATCCATAAAGATCATCTTCATTGTTGTGGCAGCCTTTGTCTTCTCCTGGCTACCCTTCAATATTTTCAAGCTCCTGGCCATTGTCGCTGGGTTGCAGCAAGAGCTCAACTTGTCCCCAGCTTTTCTCCAGCTGGGCATGGAGGTGAGTGGGCCGTTAGCATTTTCCAACAGCTGTGTCAACCCTATTATTTACTATATCTTTGACAGCTACATCCGCAGGGCCATTGTGCACTACTTGTGCCCTTGTCTAAAGAACTCTGACTTTGGGATCAGTACCGAGACATCAGACAGTCACCTCATTAAGGTTCTCTCCAACTTTGTTCATGAGGAGGATTTTGTCAGAAGGAGGAAGAGGTCTGTGTCTCTCTAAAAGGCACAGTGACATTTCAAACTCTGCTGGTGTATTGGAGGGTTAATTTGAGTCAGTGACAAAGGAAAAAAGAAGTATTGCTGAAAGTATTCCTGTTTCATAAATATAAGGAAGAGTTATTTTGTAAACAGATGACTGAAAAGTCCCTGTGTTTATGGATATAATTAGGTCCCGTGATTTTTTTTTTTTTTCAGTTAAGTGGCCTTAACCAGTCAAGTTTACTGGCAAGTTGACCCTTGCCAGTCAAGTTTACTAGGTAAAATACCACTTCTATATATGTCCTGGAGCTCTACAATAAAGACTCTGCTTGGACTGATTCCTTTTTTAATTCATGATTGTGCATATACATTCAGCGCCTTTCCTCCCTCAGGAACTGTGGTACCTTGGCACATGCCATCCTTTGTATTGAGCTCCAAATAGGACTACATTTAAAGGATTCACTGCCTGCTTTCATCTGGTGAGAAATGTGGTGGCAATGCAGGTAGCAAAAAATATAATATAGCTGTGCTCTGCAATTAACTGTTCGTAAGTAACAAAGTAAGATTCTGGCCTTATGGTGATTCACCCTGTGCCTGATCTTTCACCCTGTGCCATTCATCATTACTTTGGACTGGCAAAAAACAAACAAATGGAACTTCATAATTTGGGATTTTATCAGCTAGTTTTCTAAAGTATTTTAACAAGTAAGCATAGGGCAAGGTTTGACCTTTATTTTACTTGTAAGATGTCTACGTAGATATGTAGCTCATTATAATGGTATAGTAACTACTTTGCAGTGGGATTTTACTGTGCTCTTTTGTTTTCATCAACTGTATAAATTACGATATGACTTTGCTTTAATTACATGTTTTTAATTACCCTGTTATCTTGTCATCAAATGAAAATGTTACTAATAATATAATTGGAGTCATCAATTATACATGAATTGCTACACCCTCATGTAAAACTATTAGTTTGCTTTTTAATTAAAATGTTAGTGCTACACAGTCTCTATAGCGTCATTTGCCTTGTGTATATAATTTTAAGATTTGATCCAGTGAAATAGGAAGACAAGATACAATGCATTCAGCTGAAGTGAGAAATCTATAATGAAGATGTTATTGCAGTTTCCTATACATTTTTCCAAACAGAGAGACCTTCCTAAATTCCTTTACCCAATAAATATTTATTGAACCAACTTGCACCTATATTCCTTTTAAAGACTTTGAAGTGCAAAACATGTATTTAGTGTCAACCACAAAAGGTTCTGCAGCAAATACAGTATTGTAAACATCTTTTGAAGTTTTAATGTCAATGTGACATTATTGAGCTATGATTTCCCTCCCACTGGTGACTCAAATGAATTACCATTTTACTTCTAAACATTGTTTGAAAATCAGAGAAAGCTTAGATACTTTTCAGAGGTAAGGTAATTCAAGCTCATCCTATGTCATGTATTTTTTACAATAAAAGAATCCTTGATCAAATATTAGGCATCTCTTATAATCTATTTAAAAGTTAGTGCAGCAGACCTCTCCTGGCTCGCCTGCTGCTCCCCTCAGCAGTGTATTACAGTCAATCCACCTGTTCTGTTCCCCACTCTGTCTCTGGTGAATCCTCTCACCCCTCCAACTCTGGCCTATACCCCAGTTCTTCCATGCATAAATAAATAAATAAATCTTTTAAAAAGTAAAAACACAATTACTAATTCTGAAAGTTATTTCCTTTGAGAATTGCTGTCTTTACAAAATAGTCCAATCAATCAGCTATGTATTTGTTAGGAAACAAGAAGATCTGGGTTAACAGATTTAGCTTCTTCTTAAATGCTGGGAAATTGAACAAATCATTTTAATACCTAAAAGTAGTTGGTAATATCTATCTCAATAGTATTCTCAAAGATATTGTAAGACTAATAAAAATAAATAAAAGATATTTTAAAATATGGGATAAAAAGTTACTATATGAAGCAATTAGTTTCTATTATAGTTGAATGTTTCTTAATTTCCAAATTAGAATAGGTGATAATTCGTAATCATTCTCATTTAACAAATATTGAGGCTGTCTTACTTCTGTGTCTTCCTTTTACTTTTTGCTGAGAATAGTTAAAATAATATCAAAGAAAAAAATTGTACTTTTTAATCTTTATATAGATATACTAATTTTATGCCTTAAGAGAATCTTAGTGTATTTTATATTCATAATGTACCAATGATAGAAGGAGAGAGGTATTATTTTACAGATTGTATAATTCTGACAGAAAAAAGTTCAAAACCTGACTCAGTTGGTATGCTACTATGCCATATATGGATTCCTCTAGTATAAAATGTAATTTTCATCTTATAGCACTGAAAAGTTTATTATAAATTATTTTTGTCAGGTCTAATTTTGCATATTATAAGACCATAATACTTCCCCATTTTTAATATGAATAAATTCTATTTCTGTATGTGTATAGATTCAGATATATGGGGAAACACCAACATAAACTTTTCAAGGTTTTTATTATCAAAGTTAAATTACCCTGAGGGTGACTTTGTGGTAATTCAGTGTCATTATAAAGAAATTGACACATTGCCACAAAATTACGGAAAACTGATTTGACATCTTAATGTAATCATACTTTTCCAGCTACATCCAAAGTTAGAAGCACAAAATAAAATTTAATAAGAGTAAATTTATAAGAAAATCACTGCTGGGTCTCCCTGGTGACGCAAGGGTTTAAACACAGCACTGTGAAGCTATCTGCAGCCATCCCTGCCAGCCAGGGAGCAACCCACATGGCATGGCAGACCTTTCCTCTCTCACCCACCTGCTGCTCCCCTCAGCAGTGTATTTCAGTCAATCAGCCTGGTCGGTTCCCCACTCTGTCTCTGGTGAATCCTCTCACCCCCCACCCCCTCTGGCCTATACCCCAGTTCTTGTATGCATAAATAAATAAATCTTTAAAAAAAGAATAAAGTCATTGCTGGTTAACATTTTTTTTTCTCATCTTTTCAAACAGTTCAAAGCTACTGCCAGGATCTTAATGACAAATATTAAAGGATAGAAATTTACCAAGCATTTCTGAAATAATTTGTCTTGAACTTAACATAGAAAAGCTCTCCATTAAAACCTGGTGAGGATGTTGTCTGGTAATTCATAATTAATTTTATAATACATATGCACATTGAAAGATTAAAACTAACCTGATATTCCTGGAGTCCCTGAATTTGTCCACTCTGTCAAGTCAAAAACATCTCTGGTGAATCTAAGTGAAAAGAATAGTTTTAAAGGAAAAGGATGTGCGTGACTGAGAATAGAGTATTACTTGGGGTCACAAGTTAATTTTTAAATAGGTACAGAAATGCACAGAATGATGGTAAGTTGAGTAAAACGAATCTTCCTCTATGATTCATCTTGACTCCTCAAATCATTCTCTATTCTCCCTCGAGATCTCAGAAGTCAGAAATGACTTGTCAAATGTGCATGCCACAGGGAAGTCTCAGTTTTCCTGCACAGCTCATTCACAAAAGTCAAACCATAGTAAAATAATTACAAATATACTTCTAAAAAAGTTACTGGTGGAGTCTGCTAGCAATATGATGGCCTCCTGCCCCAGGAGAGAAAGAAGTGCCATTCAGAGAGAAAGCAAGAGGATTTTTCTTACTACCAGAGTGTTTGTAAATGGTCGTTGGATTTTGCCTTCCACAGAGTTTGGTGTGCATTGGATTTTCCCTTGCAGATATCTGTTCTTATTTTAAGTTCTTTTCTTTGAATCAATTTTTTGTGTATTTTAGTTCTACAAGTAAATTTTACATGTAAGTGTGCAGGGAAAAATGTAGTGCCAGTAACTTGATTTTACATTGCAGATATAAAAATCCACCTTAAGGCCCTCCCTTGTGGTACAAGGGGTTAAGACAAAGCATTATGAAGCTAACCACAGCCACAGCCGTTGCAGCACAAGTTTGATCCCTGGCCAGAGAGGTGACCCACATGGCTCAGCAGACCTCTCCTAACTCGCCCGCTGCTCCCCTCAGCAGTGTATCTCAGTCAATCTGCTGTTCTGTTCCCCACTCTGGCTCTGGTGAATCCTTTCACCCCCCCATACCTCTGGCCCGTACCCCAGTTCTTGTATGCATAAATAAATAAATCTTTAAAAAAAAAATCCACCTTAGGGTGAGTTACTCTTAGTGAAAATTCTTTTGACAAGTTAAATCACAGAGAAATGTAAGCTCACTTCAAATGTCCATTTATTAATCTAAGAGTACAAAGAAGTATTCTGTTAGTTGCAGATATTATTAAACTAAAAAATTCTTGGCTTACATATATGAATACTAAATTTCTAAGCACCAAATGCAATCTAGAATTACAATGAAACTTTCTTGAGTTGGCAACATGGGTATAGTTGAATGTGCTTAATTTATACAAGTGGGCTATTGGAAGGATTTATGATACAATGTTCGTATTTTTTGTAATTAAATGCAAACTTAGTAAAGGATGTCATCAATCTGACAATATTCAGTGATTTTCTTATTTGCTAATTGAGAAAATTGAATAATCAGCTTGTTTCCATGTTGATAAGAGTGAGGTTTCGCCTATGAGTACTTCATGTTGATCAGCACTGATGGAAAAGTTAACATTTTTATTTGTCAGCTGCTATCAATTCTGATAAGAAAGATTTTATGTCCAGGTTACTATCAGTTCAAAATGAAATACTAAAGGTTTTTCTTGCTCAAATACTTCAATCTCTATAAATATGCTCTCCCATTTACTCTTAGCTATATACAAGACTGAAGATATGATATTCTTCTGATGTTCTTAGACCAAATAAAATTTTGTGCATCAAAAATGGTGCATCTAAAGACTTCTATTTTTTAAAAATTTTTCTGTATCAGTCTTTAGCAAGCAACTCTTTTCTTTTCCTTGCAGAACATAAACCTCTTGTTTTAAAACTTGTCTATTGCAAAACTCACAAATTTCAAGTTTGCAAATTCTAGCATAGCATATAACCTACTCCATTTAAATTTAGTAAATGTAAGTTCTTCAGAACTTACTTTATTTATTTTAC